AATGTTTCATAGAATGTTTTGGGTTGGAAGGGATCTTTAGAGGTCATCTAGTCCAACCCCCATGTTAATGGTTGGACCTGATGATCTTAAAGGTCTTTTCCAACTGAAAAAATTCTATGATTCTGTGATTCTATGATTTTATAATTCTATGATTCTGTGATTCTATGATTCTATGATTCTATGATTCTATGATTCTATGATTCTATGATTCTGTGATTCTCTGATTCTGTGATTCTCTGATTCTGTGATTATGTGATTATGTGATTATGTGATTATGTGATTCTATGACTGTGTCCGCGTGGTCCTCTGGCTCCGCAGCACAGGGCACTGGGGCTCACTGTCGGCAGCCTCTTGAATGCAAGAAGGTGCCCGATGGTTCCAGAGGGTCCCTGCTCCTCACCCAGGGCTGCTGGGGAGGAGGGTGAGCTTAAACACCCGCACACCACTTGTCTGAGAGCACCAAAGCCAGAGCAGAAACCAAGCTGGCCATAAACAGAGCCGGCTCTGCAGCGGCTGTTTGATTAAAGCTATTTTTGGAATCGAAACTCACGGGTGGGAAGGGAAGCAGAAAGCAGATAAATTAGCCATTAAAAAGCGGCGCGGCCGCATGGCTGAGCCCTATCAGCCATTTCAGGCGGTGAGTAACAGAGGACACGACAAATCCGTCTTTGTTCTTCTGCTGCCTCGCTGCGCCTGATGGGGAGATAAGATGCTAGCGAGGGTTCATTTCGGTGGAGTTATTCATTAACCCGCTTTGCTAAATAAAGCCCTGATAAGGGCAGGGAGCCTGGCAGGGGGCGAGCCCAGGTGCAGTGGGGCTGAAGGTGGCCCCGGCTGTGGGATGGGAGGGCACGTCCGTGCCCTGTGCCAGGGCCACCGAGTCACCAGTGCTCGCACGTCCCCAGGATGCCACCACGCTTTTGGGCATGGACAAAACTCCGTCTTAGCAGCCCCCTTTTTGCAGGGTGGAAGCGGGGACGTTGAGCAGCGGCAGCGATGCCTCGCTGGGGGAAGGCGTTGCTTTCTTTTAGCAGCTGGAGATGCGGCGTGAGTGCTAACAGCGAGAGAGGCAGATGAATATGGATTTGTTTCAGTTTGGTTGTCAAATGCAAAACCAGGGGGGAAAATTGGTAAACCCAAGCATTTTCCTCAGCTGCTCTTTTGTAATTACATAATGCTGGTTTAAAAAAATCCTTTCCTACAATTTGGGTCAGTTTTTAAACAACAAAGCTTGTTTCAAAACGAAAAGTCAAAATATTTTGTTTTGATGACGTTGAAACAAAATGTCTCCGTATCTCCAAACCATTTCTTTTGACGTGTCAAAATGAAACATTTGTACACTTTCTAATTTTTTTCACAAATACCGTTGGTTCCTGCATTTTTCAGTGAACTTATCCATTTGAAAAATGTCACTCAGCTCTAAAAATTACCATACATATAGAGCTACCTCTGTTACCACATTATGTCTCATGCAAGCGTGCCAAATACGAATTCCTCACAAGGGAGCAGGTTAGACTTCAAAGCTGACCGATAAAGCCTGAGATGGCACAGTGCCAACTAACAGGGTCGGAATGTCCGTAAGCTTTCCTTTAACCCACGCCAAGGTCCCACTCCGCAGGTCAACGCTATGAGCTGGGGGCAGGCGGGTCGTCTCGCTGTCTCCGAAGAGCACGTATGTGGAGGGGTTAAACCAGAGCTTGTACCCCCGTGCATGTGTTCAGATTGGCGCTTTAATTCTCGTTAAAGCAGCCCGTCTTAATCAGGGCTTCCTGGGAAATGCACCATTTTACGGATCATCTTAGGGACCCTGTTGAACTGCAGGTCTCCGCGAGTGTCTAAGGAAGCTCTTTGCGGGCTTCTTGTAGGAAGGTTGTGTGGGATCTTGCCATAAAGTCATGCACGCGCATGGAAGTCTGGCAGTCCTCCAGAGCCAGAAGGTACGTGTAGAAATGTTGAGACTGAAGCACCTCTCTGCACTGCCCCGAGGAAAAGAGCAGCCCAGAACGGCTGGTAGGCAGCTGGCAATGCTTGGTCTGACTCTTCTTGTCTTCAGAAAGCACCTTCTAGACTTCTTCTGGGGCTCTGATTATCTCAGCTCCCTAATTAAATGTTATAAGGCTGTAGGTGTTGCACGATTTCGGCGTTCCTATTCCTGGTAGCTGGGTGGAGGAGAGAAGTCCAGGCCTTGCTGGGGGTGGTGGGGTTTGATGGAGAGTGTGGCGGCCAGCAAGGTGTCAAACGATCCTCAGCACAGCACCGTGGCGTATCCTTCTGAGGCCGCTGGCGGCACATGGCAGAGTTTCATTAGCTCACGCTGATTTAATTATAAATCCTCTCTTTATCGCTAATCACTCCATTCGAGGATGGAAAGTCCACAGACCCAAAAATATACTCGGTTAGTCAGCAGGTTTGTGAATATTTTAAGGTATTGGAGGTCATAAGTCAGCTTGCCGGCATTATCGTGATTATTCTATGGAAGTCTTTACTCAAAAATAGTCTCCAAAAATGCAAGTTTAGCAAAACTTGGAGCTGAAATCATTGCAAAACACTGAACGTACTCACCAAGCTGAATTCACATGAGGGCAGTTACTGCACGTCCCCAGGATGCCACCACGCTTTTGGGCATGGACAAAACTCCGTCTTAGCAGCCCCCTTTTTGCAGGGTGGAAGCGGGGACGTTGAGCAGCGGCAGCGATGCCTCGCTGGGGGGAGGCGTTGCTTTCTTTTAGCAGCTGGAGATGCGGCGTGAGTGCTAACAGCGAGAGAGGCAGATGAATATGGATTTGTTTCAGTTTGGTTGTCAAATGCAAAACAAGGGGGGAAAATTGGTAAACCAAAGCATTTT